GGGGGGGGGGGGGGTTGTAGGGGGACCGCGATATATCCACACGTGTCAGAGAGGTTGAGTTGAGTAGGATTTCCGTGCTTGATTTTTGGGCGTTCGGGTGTTGGGGGGGAGATTATTAGAGGAAGAGCCGTGGGTCGCCGTTACTTGTATTTTTTTCTCGCGAAAGCGAACCTTTTGTTACTCGGGCAATCCCTCCGTAGGCCAAATTCCCGACTACACAGCATTTGCGCAAGTTTTATGCATATCCGGTGTTTTGTGCCCGTTTCGGCGATATATTACGCACGGGAGAGAAATGGGAGGGGACTTTATTGACTGGGTGGTTTTGAGCTGCGTTCGGGAATATTTGTGGGTTTCTTTAACTATGCACCCAGTGGTTTGCATACATACTGGTCCGTTGTATGCTCTTTGAGCATTTATGTGTGCCTCGACAGCCGAACCGAGTTTTTCTTCGGTTTTCCTGTGCAAGAGAGAACAACCAACCTTTGTATCATACGTTCTTCGTCTCTGACTTTGTCTCTGACTTTTCTTTTTTGGCTCTCTTGGGCGTCACCAAACGTTCGGCTTGTATGCCTTCGACACTCATCAAGGACGACGCGAGTTGGCTTGGGTGCCTGGCATTCGTCTGATGTTCCAAGCTCCGAACAAGGACGAAACGTTTTGGCTTGGGTGCCTGGCATTCATCCGTTGTTCCACGCACACTCCAACTGGGAGGGCACTCCAACTGGGAGGGAGAGCGAGCAAGAGTGGCCTATACCACGCCCAAGATACGTCAAAGAGGATATATCCAGTTCTTGTTGCCTCCGGCCTCGGTCTCAACAACGCGATGGGATGGAACACACGAAAAACACACATACATGTCAGATCCTGATTTGTCTAGAATCGGGGGAGCGAGCGCACTTACTTTGGGATCCTCGATTCCTTTTTGGCGCTGGTCTGCGATATTTTTGCCCGTGCACCACGCTCAACCCATTCCCCCGACACCCGACGGGTGGCCATGGTCCTCAAGAATTTCGCCAGCATTCAACGAGTGTTGCCAAGATGTTGCAAGTTCTCCGAAGAAATTGAAGCCAAAACCTTCAAGCGCTCCCACGGCATCCAACGGGTGGCCTCTACCCCCCCCCCCCCCCC